AGAGCGGGATTCCTGAGCCGGGATTTCCCCGAAAAGGGAGCGTCACGCCGGGCCGGGCCGGCCGGGGCCGGGGTCCTGGCCCGCTCGCCGGCGTGGCTGGAAATGACACGGCGCTACTACGTCCACGCCGCGCCGCCGGCCATGCAGCGCGCGACTCGATCGATGCTCCCGGCTCCAGAGCGGCTCCCCCGCCCCGCCCCCGCCCTGCCCGCCGCTCCCCCACCCCCGCCTCCGGGCCCCGCCGTCCAAAAACCGCGCACCCCCCGGAAACCCCCGGAGACACTTAGTTGGTTCTTCCCCGGCTCCGAGCGTGGTTGATGAGCACCCCAACCACACCATCAGGCCGGAGTGTTGCACCATCAATGTCCTTTTTATTTCGTCTTCCTTGCCCTCCCACCCCCTGCCCGTCCCCCGCCATCCCCCGGTCCGAAAGGACCGACATCGGGGCGCGTTCATTATGTGGGCTCTTATTAACCGCTTTTATCTCCCTCTCCTTGCACAGCGTAATCTGTTCATCATTTTTGTGTTTTTTGACGGGGTCGCCTGTCTTTCTCTTGACCCCGCCCCCTCCCCCAACCGCTGCTGGTCAAAGTGTGAAACCTAGTTGTTACGTCTGTCGCTACTCTGTGACCCACTTTTTTTGGCACTCCCTTCGTTGCGAAAAAGAAAATTCTGAAATTTTTTGTCCAGGCTTACGGTATCATCTTGGGTAGGAAGTTCGATTTGGATGATAATCAATGAATATAAATTTTTTCTATTGTAGTAACAACGACTAATCATAAAGACTCTGTTTAAGTGCATTCCTATCCCCTCTTACACTGCGTAGTGTCTTCATCGTTTTCGTGTTTTTTGAAGAGATCGCGCAGTTTTCTTTTTTTCTAAAATTCTAACCGCTGAAAGTCAAAGTCTGAAAATTAATTGCTATTTCTGTCGCCACCCCGTGACCTACTTCTTTTTAGCATTTTTTCTGATGCAAAGAAGAAACTGTTCAAAATTCTGACCGAGGCGCACAGTACTTTGAGGTGAAGTACTCTAGGGTATAGAAAGTTTCATTTGGATGATGAGTAGCTGTTTTTCTTATATCTTCCCTTTCCACAGCGCAGCACATCCGTCATCTTGTATTTTTTAATAGGTCCGATTTTCTAGGTCTTTTCTCTTCCGACCTACGTTTGGTCAGGTGTAAATTTAGTTTTCGATCACTCCATGACATTCCGTTTGGAACAAAAATTCCCAAGTAGTTGTTTGACTAAATTTTTCCCCTGTCTGAGACATAAAATTCTCACAAGGAGAATTATCGCGATATTCAATATCAAGATTGTTTTTATTTGTGATTTTCAAATTTAAGCCCATGTTCTGGACTTTTTAAAATTACCTGGGACAGAGATGGCCAAAGGATGGGCACAAAGCAGGATTCTTCTGTTTAGATGTTTTTATTGCAGTTTTTTTTTTCCGTTTTGACGAATCTTTTAGATTTGTTAATGCTCGGTATTTGAGAGCTTTGTCGTCAGTGGAAGAGGTAAAAAAAATCTGGATTCTCTTTGACATCTAAAATTGTCTCCCTTTTACAGCGTAATCTTTCTTTCATTTTACGTACTTTGACAATTTTGTTCTGCTCAACCACTGGATATTTTAATCATGGTTAAATTGTGATAGCTTGAGTTTATTAATAATCCCTTACTACTTTGTAACCTGGTTTTTTCCTCCAAAAAACCAACCACAAAAGTCTTTGAGCGTGGCAACATACCTGTACAGATCGAAACGAATTTTTCTTCCGACTGATTTTTTTTAATAGTGCGAAAAAAAGTTAGATTCAATGTTTGTCTTATTTCGGTGTCAATTGAAATGAATTTAGGTCGGATCCATCCTAAAAATATATAAAATTTTAGAGCAGGTTATAAAAGTTCTAAAAGAAAAGTCGTTTTTATATTCACCCCCTTTCGACGGCATCAACAACAGCCAGTCACAGTTCTGGTGTACTATGTTTCTCACGAAGTGGAGCTCTCGTGAGAAAAAAAAAAAATTAGGAATAATTCAGAAAAACAATTTGGCCCGAATATTTTAAGCAAGGTAGTTGCCATTCATACGATCAGCTACGAATTATAAAGAAAACCCGAGTAATTATAGCGTCGCTCGCTGGTGCGAGATTTTGTCTGTGGCATAGAAGCGCCTTAATCTCTGCGCGATGCAACCTACGCCCACACGGATGCCCGAATAGTTATCTCTCGAGCGCCTTCCACAAGGCACCTAGTACAGTCGCTTTCTTTCAGGCAATCCTACATGACTCGTAAAATCAAGCACAGAAACGACAAAAGTCATTCCAGGGCCAGTAACTTTATCCCAATCATTGTCTAAAGAATAAAAATATCGCTAAGAGTCAAAGATGACTCGATCTAATCTTTGATTTGGAAATAAATATGATTATATTCAATAGTAAGAATGCTATGTTATCGAATAGAGTTCGCCCAACATTTCAATTTCCGTGAAGAGTCTCGCATCGCTAGCGTGAAGAAAAGGAGTCAAAAGTAACAAGCCGAATAGCGGTGAAAAGGCAAGAGACGACTAGATTACACATTTGAACGCCCCCTTCCTCCCCACGTCTCTCGGTGCCTATTATGTTAATTCAATTTGTTACCCTCATCTTCCTCGAATACTTAATCTCTACCCCGGCCATCGAAGCAAAGGAAGCATAATATCGCCGTTTATCCGGCGTAAAAGCGTATCTGAACTTCTTGATGAGCTCTGTTGACCGTATGATTCCATACCTTTTAGAGCCCACGTGGAATTGGAGTTACGTCTCTACGACAGAGACTTGACGATATTAGTCTCTCCTTCCTCCTTATCATGTCTGGATTGCCTTTTCTCGATGACGCCTTGCTCGCAAAAGTTCTGTTCTGGGATCGTTTAGGGGAGGGGGGAAGATGGGAGGGGGCACTGTGTCCCCAAATCTTTAGATATTGTAACGAGACCCGCTTATTTCGACGAAAATGCGAAGTCCAAGGGCGGAATTCAGAATTTTTGCGGGGTGGGGCACAGAGGAGATCTAGTTGAGGTCCTAGTGGCCATATTGGATTTAAGGGGGCATGCAGCTTCCGCCACTTGCTCAGTTTTGTCCATATATAGTTCCCAAGTAAGGAAATCAATAAAGAGACATTATGGTCATCTTTTATGAGTAGATATCAGAAATTATCTAAAATTGAATCAGTGAGAACGAAAACACACCAACTCGGATCCTCAAAAATGCTCAATTTTCATTAAAGATATTCAATTTTTTTGAAGGTCATTTAAATAAGCGCAACTGTTCCAACTTGGACTTATAAAATGTCCCTAAGTTCTTGTCCTTTGCCACCAAAAACCTTTTTCTCAGGCTAACTTCTTCACCTACCGTGCAGTTCTGTGTGCGTCTTGGTCATTTTCATTTTTTCGAGTTGGTGTGTTTTCGTTCTCACTGATTCAATTGTATGCTAGATCTGAACTTTTATGAAGTGTACCCAGAAAGTATGAAGATCCTCCAAGGCTGATACCACCTATAATTCCGTATAAGATTATTTACACAATAGCAGCCTTATAAGCGTGATGTATTAAAATATAATCGATTTGTTTTTGCATATTTTTTTCATCAAATGGAGAGGCTACTGTGATTTCTTTTCTTTATTTCGTTATTACAGTGAAATAATTTGAACTCTCAGCATTTTCGATACAATTAAGCATTTTGCTGAAAAATCTAAGGAAACCCAAACCGCCATCAAATTCTATCTGCAATCCGATCAGTCTGGCAGAAAAGACGAAAAAGTGATTTAATCCTTTCTCGCCGAGGGATTAGAGCATTCTCTTTTTAGCCCATCTTCCGCCCTCGAACCCTGACTTCCACAGTCGGGACACTAGTGGGTACGGTCAGGTATTGGACGAAAGCCCTCAAAGACGAAAACAATGGGGTAATTCTATACTTTGTGCTGTCAAAGTCTCAGGGTGCGCTCGGAATTTCAGCAATAATTCCGTCTGAATCGTTGAGGGGGAGGGGAAGGGGTTCAAATCCGATTAAATTACCGCTGTAGGCGAGCTTGGACCGTGAAGAGAAAAGGGCAGCCCACACCCAGCGCTGAGGGTTAAGATTTCATTAACGATTTTGTGGCAAAACAGGCTTCGGAAGGATCCTGTATGGTTGAGTTATGGAGAGATTACATGCGAAAATAACGTCATATTTTTGATTGGGAGCCAGATTGGTTGAAGCTAATCCCGAACTTCAGCCACGTAGATGTGTAGTTTTTTTTTGCTATTTCTACGAATCTTCACTTATGATACTCTAATAGTTACCACATTCAGCTATATTATTACATTGAATACTGCCGCGTTAAGTAAGAGCGATGTATGAGCATTAAGCGTCGCCAAATCTCCTTAAAAATCACGAATTTTCGGGAAAATTTGAGAATATTTTTCTTCCGATTTTTTATAGTATTTTGTTCGTGATCTAAAGTGTCGGGAAATTTCAAGGAAACAAATGCATGACTTACTTTAAAAATAAAACTTTTCAGAGGAGAGATTTGGCAACATTCGAATGTTCATACGACGTTTTTCTTCATCACGACAGAGTAAGTGCTACGTTGATTTCTACGGTTTAACTTGATGGGAATTGTATTTAAGCACTGTCATTGCGCTTGTAATTGGATTGCATTTTGCAAAAAGGAACCACTAGCATTCTAATGTTGCTAAGATTGTGCAACTTCTTTTGTCTTGGAGGAAAAACTCGAGTATCCATCAATAGTTTGTATATTACTTGCTAACAACTGTAAATTTAAGAAAAAAATTACTATCTAAATTTCATAGTTTTTCACAATTTCCGCAATTTTATTGCAAAGGATGAAGTTGCACAATCTTAGCATCATTGCAATGCTAGTGGTTCCTTTTTGCAAAATGCAATCCAATTGTCGTTGTGTTTGTCATTCTATTTGTCATTGTTGTCATTTCACTGATTCGCGATTTCCCATTCTGTTCTTTGTTCGCAGGCTCATTACTGAATGGCCAAAGACTGTTAGAATTCCCTCGACCCCAGGACGTGGACGGGTCCGAACTGAGGGTGAAAAGTGCCACTCTATGGGTCCGTGTGGACTTTAGAGAATCGTTACCTAGAAATTTTAGGAGATTAGTCCCAGATAGAAATTTAACTATGTGGGTTTTTAGAGTATTTAGGAGTTCGAACGACGACTCGCCGAGCAACACCACGTTCGTTAGTGGAAAGGTATGTTTCAACATTTATCTATTTTTCTATCGACTGCATTCATTCATCTTGTTTGCTCACTCTTTCTCTTAGTAAGATTCTAGAGGGAGTAAAGAAAAAAATGTATGCGAAAATTCCATCATGCATCTTGTTTGCTCACTCTTTTTCTTAGTAAGATTCTAGAGGGAGTAAAGAAAAAATGTATGGGAGAGTTCCATCATTCATCTTGTTTGCTCACTCTTTCTCTCAGTAAGATTCTAGAGGGAGTAAAGAAAAAAATGTATGGGAAAATTCCATCATTCATCTTGTTTGCTCACTCTTTCTCTTAGTAATATTGTAGAGAGAGTAAAGAAAAAAAATGTATGGGAAATTTCCATCTTGATGAGAGAAATGCTTATTCGAGTAGTCTAGCTTAAGAGTCACATTCATAGTCGTCCCTTAAACAGTTTTTGTCCTTGGGGGTTCCATGTTATGGTTCACAACACGATTTAGGGAGAGAAGTTAAAAAAAGCCTAGTTCGAACATAGCATCATAAAATGGACAATTTTTGCGAAACTTTCGGACACCTTTCAACCAGAAATTCAGCAGTTTAATTCTGGAAATGGATCCTTATGGGAGACTGCAATGATTTGCAACCATACTTAAAAATAAAATACAAAATAAGATGCAGTGCGAGTAGTATAAATTTTAAGGTAGGTTTGCACCTTTCTTAAAGTTTGTCATAAGTCATAGAATTTTTTCTCGTGCATTTTGTACTTTTTGGAAATACAAATCATTATAATCCCTCTTAAGGACCCATTTCCAAACCAATAATTTTGAATCTTGCTCGAATTTTGCCAGAATTGTCCTCTTTAAGATATGGTTTGTACAAGGTTTCCTTAAATCTTCTTTAACTTTAATGTATGCCGTATTGAGTCTTCTAAGGAAAGGAGCTGTTTCAGGAACGACTATGAATACGGCCTTTCAGAATGTAAGCATGAAGATTGAAGTTGTTGAATTGCATGACTAGGCACCCAGCATCGAAATGACTGTTATAAGTCAGAGTCATTTTAATAATTATTCATCCGTACTTGTTTCGATACCTTAAAAAACGCGGTGGAAAACACTTAAAGTTTGCTTTTCACCGTTCATTCAAATCAAAGCCACTACTTCTTCCACCAAATAATAGCGTAATCTATTTGGATTCTTAAGGGCTGTTTAAGAACAGTCTATGATTATGCAGTGAAAAAAACTTAAAGTTTGATTTTCACTGTTCAAGCTAAAAGTGCGATTTGATGTGTTGAAAACGGATTTTAGGAAAATTTCGTGTCATCGATTTTATCCTAAAATAAAGAATGAATAAATTTTTTTTAGATTTATTCAATTACTTCAAACAATTGGGAATCAGGATTTTCCATGGTATGTTATCTAAAAAAAATTCCAAAGTTCAAAGTGTTCCAAAGTGTTGTCGGTAGGAATTTCGCAAACTTGGCCTAGACAAGTAATAAAGAATCAGCACAATATCTGACTGATCTTGAATGATTCATGGAGGATTCCCACATCGGTTTCAGGACATTATGTCAACGATTTTTTGTTCGCGCACCTTCTTTGTCCAGTAGTTTACGCCCACACGTAAAATAAGCAACAGTGACTTGGTCCAAGCGTTATATTTTAGTCGGTATGTAAAATTATATTGACAATATGGAAATGCGAAATGGAGAGAGAAGGAGGTGTTGTTATGGTTGCTCATTTTCTAAATGAAATGTTATTACTTTCTCCTTTTGAATCATCTTTTTAAATTGTCATTGGTGAATATTTGGTTTTATTTCTATACTTAAAATATTCGATGTACAATTTACCTTATATATGCATAGGTACTTTTTTTTTTCTTTTTTTAATTTTTTCTTTACGAAATTATTACCTCATTTTGAAAACACTTATATTTTTAAAACGTGACAAATATTTGTAAAGCCTTTTCCAAGCGACATTAATCTCAATGAGCCGCAGTTGTGCCGACAGAAACTGAAAAACTGAATAAAAGAGGAAATAAACCAAGAAGCACCTAATCTTTAGTTTTAACCCATTTGCACATCGATCTTTTAGAGTCAAATACGTCAAATTTTGCGCGTTTGGTTGCACGTACACGTGAGGCTCACTATCGCCTACAAACCTAAGTGGATACTTCACGCATTGCGTAATGCTGGAAGTATCCACTTAGGTTTGTAGGCGCCAATGCGCGTTTTGCGCTGGCCGCCCGCCCGCCGTGCGGCGGCGCCTGAAGCAACTATTTCACAACAGAGGTGTTGCACAGTATTTTACGAAATTAAACGTTTTAAGAATGGCAGGCATCCTTTAAATGTACAGATCTTTCCTCGCAAAATAAATCAAGATACTTATTGTACAAAGGAAAAATCTAAGAGCCTTCAGTTGAGGTAAATATAGAGGTTTATCCGGTTCTGGTATAACAAGGTGGGAATTTCCTGAAAGATAATTAAGTCCTGTTACACTAAAGAGGTGTAGAGAGTTTTAGTGAATTTTGTCTCATGGAATTGACGCTCCCACATTTTTACCAAAACTCTCAACTATATATTATTCTCCGTTGGACCAAACAGACAAAACAAAAAAACAAGCAAACCCTCATTCTTCTAAGATAGCATATATTTTCATCTAAAAACGTCGTGAGCAATTGTCGTTTGTATTTGCATGTGGGCCAATTAACTTTGGGTCTCAACTGGCACATGAACCAAAACTCCCGTGCCGAAAAAACGCTTGGACGTAAATTACTGGAAAAAACAAGTGCGCAGACAAAAAATCGTTGATGAAATGTTCTACAGCCCCGACATCGGGTTTATGTGCATCGCCTTATCAAAATTAAAATTTATCACGTGGAAGTGGCATATTGAATTGACATATGAGACTGTTATCAACATGTAGTCAGTCTTAAATCAAAGTGACTCGTTTCATAAAGTAGATTTATGTCGAATAGACACGATCCTCATTTCTTCTGTCAATTTTGTTCAATCAACTTCTCCCTGCATGCATTTTTATATTTATCAGTATTTGTCGATGACCTCAGATTGAGAGTAGCTTTAAGGATGAGGGTTCAAGACACATTCTTTGACCGGAAATATTAATCTTAATGATGGTGCGCGGCCAGGCAGTGCCGGCTGAATAGACTTCGGAGGGGTGAACGATGTTCTTGGATCTGTTCGCAGGAGTTCGACGAGCTGACGTCGATGTCCTCCTCGCTGCCGATCACGCTGTCATCGCTAGGCTGGCAGAAGTTCGACGTGACGTCAACAATCCGCGAGTGGTACTCCAGCGGCCCCAGGGACCGGCTCAAGCTCCTGGTCGACTGCTCGGGCTGCAGCGGGATCGTGGACCCCGTGCTCTTCCAGGACACCCGACAGGAGTCCGAGCGGCCCTTCCTGGTCGTCCACACAGACCCAACGGCCGCCAGGAGGGTGCGGCGGCGGGCGCTGGACTGCAGTGGCGCCGTCCGCGGCCAGTGCTGCAAACAGCGCTTCTACGTGAGCTTCAAGCAGCTCGGCTGGGAGGACTGGATCATCGCCCCCGGGGGGTACTACGCCAACTACTGCCGGGGGGACTGCGGGTCCCACCGGACCCCCGACACCTTCCTCAACTACTACACGCACGTCATCGAGGAGTACCGCAAGATGGAACGCCTCTCCGGGCTCCAGCCCTGCTGCGCCCCGCTCAAGTTCTCGCCCGTCTCGCTCATCTACTTCGGCCCGGATAGCAATATCATCAAGCGGGACCTCCCCAAGATGGTCGTCGACGAGTGCGGCTGCCCTTGAACGTCCCCCCGAACAAACAAATTGTGATCTTTATTTAATTTTACCCCGTTATCTGTAAATTGTACATACACTGTTCTTCACTCGAGTTCTAGTGCCGGAGGCGAAGGTTCTAATCGAGTTTTTGCACACGTAGGGGATTTTCGATTGAAGTACTATCGTATGAGAAAAAAACACTAAAAAATAGCCGGAACTGTATGTAACAAGGTGAAGAAATGGTGCTGGGTCCATGCCATTTCGCCGGAAAACAAAGCCAAGAAGTTCTAAAAATTAAAATTAGAGTCAAAAATAAAAATTGTTAAGTTTTTTAATTTTTAATTCTTAATGTTTTTTCACTGGCGAGTGTGATCTGCTGATGAGGTCTAAAACGACCCAAACCGGTATAGATCTCTCGCCGTGTCATCAACTTAATATTACAATGCAAACTGCATGAGCTGAACACTCTCCCCCTCAGTTTTGTACTGGTACTCATTAGGGTTGAAAATGTTTATTTTTGACTCTAATTTTAATTTGTTGGCTTTGTTTTCTTCGCGAAATGGTGTGGACCCAGCACCATTTCTCCACCTTGGTCCTATCGTATGTTAAATTTCGAGAGGAATACTGTGGTGCCTGTGGTTTTGAAACGAGCTTTCAAGCTCGAAAAAGTTGTAAAAGTTGAAACTGTAATGAACGGGACTTTACGTTGCAAATCCACCTCTACAGTTATCCAGGGATAAACGCAGGAGCGTGCTCTCTTGGTCAAAATAAGACTTTTTTGTTGTATGAAGCTTTTTACAAAAGAGCCCCCAGTTGGGGCTACGGCCCACCCCCTCAAACTTTGGAAAATAAATAGTTTTTCCTGAATTTTGGCAACGGTTGTGAACAGAATCTGATGAAAATTTGTACCGCCCCGTACTTTTATGCGAAAAAAATCGAAATCTCAATTTAAAGAGGGGTTTTGGGGGTGTTTCGGCTCCTGCGGTCTGGACGTTCAACCCTGTATCACCCTGTATATCAAATCATACCATCCATGAACAGATAGGAGCCAAATGCTTAACAGGCAGTGGCGATTCTTGAATTGGCAACACTGTTTTTCCTTCATTTAAATGTATGTAATATAATCGATTATTGGTGAAGCAGCTTGCCTCACCTAAAATCGATATTTTTGATGGATTCTAATGGAGGAAAAAGAGTGTTACCACTTTGTAAAATTGCCATTGTTATCAGGGCTGCCATTGGTTCCAGCCATGGAGTCTGTAATAATTAAAGCGGCTACCCTCCTGATTAATTTTCTCTCTATCTGAGCATTCAGTGTCTGGCTGGACATGAAATTGGACTCCGAGTGTAGCGTGGGGCCTCTCCATTGAGGCTTCAACTTCGAAAATGTTTTTCGAGCTTCGAAATCCTCTCCAGAGAAACTCAATGACACCATTGTATTTCTCGCGAAATGTTATAAACATGATAAAGTACTTAAATCACAAACTCCCAACGAATGCTTAAGCTCCATTAATTATGGAGAAGCAATTTATGTATTGTGGTAGCAAATTGGTTTGTTTTACCCAGTAGTACCACGAGCCTTAGGTGACGTACTCCCTCCCTACCGCAAAATTAAGAGCCTAAAATTAAATATTTAAATAGACGGTTACATTTTTGTCTCCAGTGCAACTTATATTGAACAAGCAAGGAGTATCGTTATAGAAAAATTGGTTAATTCAATGATGTCCACCTCCACCTGGGTAACGCGAGAATCAACTTTGAAATCAAACTAAAGTTTCAGCGCAGGTTTCTTTCAGAATAATTTCTCATTACAACTGTATGCCTCTGAAACCTCCTTGTTTCCAAAACAAGGTTTAACTTTTGGAGAGGCTCCTTTTCCGATATTTTTTACTTAATGTAACAAAAGGATACTAGACCCACAAGAATAACTTTCAATAAAAGCCCATCTTAACGTTATTGCTATCAGATTGTGTTATCTGTTATCTTAATGTCACACTCTCTCATAGTGATATTTTCACGGCGGTAAGAGGCTAGAAAGTCTAACGAAACGTAACGAAGTGTAAAGTCGGTGAAAAGTCACTTTTCGACTCTTCGGCACTGGAACTCAACCTTTTTTCTGTTTTTATGAATATATCGCAGCTCTTGCGTCTTGCCATATTTATCTGGGGGCCCAATAGGAATCACTTGTTTCTATCTTCTTGAACGCTTTAAATCAACTCGCTTTCCCCCTTTCGCTTGATCCTCACCTCGGTTTCACTGACAGACTTTCGGAAAGGTGAGAATCACCCCTACGTTTTCCTTATAACACTCGTGTATCCTCAGTTTCATTCATCCAATCTGATTGTTAAAAATCATAAACGCAAAGACGAATACGGACATCGATACATACCTTAATTCAAGGAGTATGACCTGCTTATTTGTCGGTCGTGTGCAGAATCAATTATTTTGACCGTAGAGTTGGTTACCTTATCACGGAAGGAACTAAGATTTTGCAATCCCAGAATTTCCGCCTAGGAATGATTCAGGCGTAAATCGATCAGTTTTTGATCATACAGGGTGTCCCAGGATTAAGTACGATTATTTAAAGAGTCGATTCTTTAGGTCAAAACAGACGTTTTTGTGGTATAACTTTTTTTCCAGAAACGCTTTTCCTGGGGGCCACCCCCACCACCCCCACCACCCCCTTCACTCCCGTCCGTGCTCCATTTAGTCCCTATTATCTCGAAAACGATGAGTCAAAGCGAAAAAACTCAAGACATATTATCTCAATATTTTTCAACGCTGAATCTATTGGTGTCGTCAAAAAACATTTTTTGTCTCTAGAAACATTAATTTTGGCTACTTTTAGGTTCAATACCCCCCTGAACTCCCCCCCCCCTTAAATGCGTTTTCTCTTTTTTGGAGGTCAAAAATGAAAAAAAGCGCTAAAAAATTGTCACAGTGTTAGAAAGACGAATTTTTTTCTCCAACCTCGGGGGGCATGACCCCCAAGGAAAGCGTTTTTGGAAAAAAAGTTGCACTACGAAAACTTCCTTCATTCATCCAAAGAATCGAAACCTTCAATATTCGTACTTAATCCTGGGACACCCTGTATATCAAATCTTTGTATTACGAAATTAAAGAGCCTCCCTGATTTTTTTCTCGAATCTGAATCTTTCCGCGTCAGCCAGAGGAATCAACATTAGTTTGATTTTCAATTTTAGTTTGATAAATTGAACCTGTAATTTGGCAAAATACGGATTTCTTTAACCAAATCAAATTACTTCAAAATTATTGTGACCGATTATTATGCTAGAGGAACATATTTTTTGAGAGCGACCGGAAATTTCTTAATTTAATTGCTTTATATATGCTACTCATAACAAGCGAAAACGGTGTTATCAAATTCCTTGATTTTTCTTTTAATTCGTGAATTTTTGGTCAAATTAATCCGTCTGTTGCCATCACTTTTTTTCCAAAAGTATTTGCTATAAGCTTTCCTTGCCATAAGCAGGATTGAATTCAGTTCCATCACGTAAGGAAACATTTCTTCAAAGAGTCTGTGGAGTAAATCTGTCTTTGCTCCTCTCATAATCATTAATTATTATTTAATGAGTCTTTATCCGATGGTAAGAATATATTTACACGGGGATCTATCATTTTTAAAATAATATCTCATTACTTTCTTTTTCTTTCAGCATTTGCTATGACCAGATATGAAACATGTAGTCACGCTTGGAAATCAGGTTTTCAAGAGGCTGTTTAAAATATATTCTAAATATTATTAAAATTAAATAAGATAAAAATTGTTGACCTGTGGAATAATCTTTGCTATTCACGGACTTATTTTAATTTAATAGGGCTAAAATTTCCTCCCGTAGCTATTGCATTCAATGCATAAGATTTAAGTTTTCGACGAGCATATAAATTAAACTTGATTGCAGACGTAAAATAAAGTTGATAAATGATAATAGTCACATTTCCTAGCAATATCTGAGATATCATATCTCTTATCAGTAAAACAGCAAAATTCAAGCAAAAATCTCAACGGCGGGTCATGAATTATACAATTAACCCAAAAAAATCAGACGACAGCAGCAACAGCGCCAACAACGACCTGATTTCACGCTGATTATTGAAGAGCTTTTCGCTATTATCAATCATGTATGTTGGTTATGCAATCATTTCACTTCTTAGTATGTCTCATGCATTCGCTTAAATTATTGTTCCTGCAACAAGTCCCTTTTTATAGAGGCTTTATTTAAAGTACATATTTAAGTAACTAAAACAGAAAAGAGAGGACCAAATAAAACAATGCAGTTAAAAAGATAGTAAATTTTTACATGGAGCCAATTAACAAATTAAAATGACTTTTTTGCACGCAAAATGCATGTTGGGTGTACAACACAAAATCAGAAGATACAGTGCATTAAAATATTTAAAAATATGTAGATTAATAAACTGATTTCACAATGAACGATAACTTTTCCCTTCAACGTAATATTGTCGAAGTACTGACTTTCCTACTTTTAGAGTCCGCACATATTTGCCATCTTAACCCCCTTTTTATAATGCTTGAAGTGACATGTTCTTTGAACTATCTCTCGGTATTATCTAATAAATTTACCTCCTAAATTTTCATCTAACTGTTTGCTTTCTCTGGAATGGTACCTCGAGTTCACTTCATAAAAGTTTGCTTTAAATGAAGTCTCTCTCTCTATTAATTTTTTGCGTGGAACAAACTATTAAATCGATCAGCGAAATTTAGTTGTAAATGAAAAAAGTCCCCATATCCTTTGTTTCCTTTCATGAGGGATTTTTCTTAGTTCAATCTCATAAGTTAAACTAATCTGTACATTCTTTAGATATTAATCTTGGTTCAAATCAAGATATAGGTGTACAGAAAATTATATTTTGTAATTAAACTTTCAGTTTAACAATTTTGTTCCTATTATGTTTATTCTTATGATGTAAATATTATTATCATTTGTTTTTGTTGTTTTTATATTTTTATTCTTCCCCGCAATTGTATTGTTACTTAAGTGTAGATATTCGGTTTATAAAAAATTAAGGTATATGTACTTTTTTTAAATGCCAATTCCGAAATTTAAAAAGAGGAACACTTAACATTAAGACAATTAATAATGAAAATTATTAGATTAATTAAACAAAATTCGTGAAAACTTCAATTAAACTATCGAGATGAAGAACGCTTTATTTAAAGTTCCGCGTCTTGTGAGAGTGAGGCACTTAATACGGCAAGCATATCAAGTTAGAAAAG